ATGTCTACCACAAAAATTGTACGATTGGATTTTGAACTTGAATACTTTATTTCGTAGATCACATCGAAAGGCCAATCTTTGACAGGGGAATATTTCGTTTGAATACCCTTACTTCATTAAAATTGACCATCATCAAATGTGTACTACACATTATTAAGCATAGAAATATCCTCCCAAATGCTTTCACATTTGTTAAATCCCACATGATGTTTGTTGCCACTACGACACTATGACTTTTGTTCATCCAGTTCTTACGTTCGATTTGACGCATAATGCTGGATCTTGCAGTGAACAATAAATGGTCTATAACAAGAGTAATATTTACTAGCTGTTCTGGATCCTTATTTGGGCAAGATCACTTTAGAAAGTAGAGTGTGCATTTAGAAAAAGTAATGAAACATGTTTTAACATTAGGTTTGTTTTTTGAAACTGATCTTGAAAAAATGAATAAAATCTAGGGATAATTTCCTCAAAATGAGGTTTTGTATAGTTGCATGACCCAGTGAATATTTTCATATAATTTATAAGCAGTGATTCCAATAATTAATCTATATGCTTCTAAAAAATGGCTTTGTTTCAAAAATCTGTTAATGTCATTGAGGGAGCAATTATTCCATCATATTTAATGTTTCTTGCCCTAGTTAACTGTTATAATAAAGAAATTCCCAAAGATATTTTTATTGCATGTATATTAATAATTCACTTGCTGTCAGTAACTAGAAATATTTAATTATTGGGCAATTAATAATATTAATACACATAAGTATGATATTATTAATAATTCAAATTGTGTAAGTATATAAATTAATGTTAAAAATAATAACTACTTTATTAATCAGGGTTTCCCTGCCCTACTTTCACGGTAGTAATCGCATTAACGAGTTCACTCATGTTTCTGCTCAGGCAGTGAATGTTTTCTCTGCAATCTGTAGACTGGTAGGTCATGTTTTTACAACTTTGTTGTCTTCAACAATGTCTATTGTTTTGCTGTATGTGATCTAAACACATTGTATTATAACTACTTGTACTGGGTGTGATGTTTTCATTCAGAGCAACAAATGTTCTGTTATTTTCAGTTCTGTGCAAGCTCTTTTGAATGTTATGCCTGTAGTGTACCTGTGAATTATTCACTGAAGTGAATGTAACTATTGGTTCACTGCACCGTCCACCAAGTAAATATCTACAATCCAAATCTTATAGAGTGGGACGTTTTACTCACCAGTGACGAGAGATCATTTTTTTTATAAAAACTAGAAAATATTGTTACAAGATTTCATTATGCAAATCAGACTTTATATATCTGGTTGGAGTGCTTTATTTTTCTGTGGTATGCAGTCATGTGTATTTATAGAATATGGTTTTGACGTTAGTCAGCATTCATGCAAAATTTCTCTCAGTCTCAAGTATATTCAAATCAAAGAATTATTCAAAGTATGTAAGTGAAAATACATTCTTTAAAAGTAAAGAGTGGTGAACGCAATATGTTAGCAGACATGAACACCCCCCCCCCCTCCTGATAACTCTTGTTTATGTATACATGTAAATAGCAATTAATTTATATTTCCCATCATGCATTGGTGCAATCTCTGGGAGTCAACAAGTGTAGTTGTAATTTACACTGTTTTTGATCTAAATCTTTGGAAAAAAAACAATTAAGAATTTAAAAATGGTGTCGCAATTTGCATCTCATGAATAAATGAATTCAATTCAATAACTGCTAAATTAAATAAGTATGTCAAATTACAGTAGAAAACTTTGCTTCAAACCCAGTGAATATATACTATGATCAAACCAATTTTGCTGTACTGTAGTGAAATTTGGTTCGATTGCATTATCAACAAAGGAAGCTTCTTGACAAATCTCAAATCACCCATGGAAAAATTACGTATTAAATTCAGCAAGTCCTTATTAAAAGTCAACTGCAAAGCAACAAATTTAGCATGCTTGCTTGAGCTTGGTAGGCTTCCACTTGCCATCTCAAGTATAAGGCAAATGCTGAAATATTGGATGCGATTAAACGACTTGGGTCATAATACATTAGTTCATGAAGCTTACCAGCTGGGCATACAGCTAGATGATGAAGGCATACAAAATTGGGTAACAGGAATAAAAACCATCCTGAACTTTCTAGACCTTGGTGACGCATGGACACAATGTAAACATAACAGCAATTACAGTCTACTTCATCCTATTTTAGATAAACTCATTAAATGTTTTAAAACAGTAGCTGAAAACAGCATCTAAAAATCATAAAAACAAACTTAGAACCTACAGATTACTGAAAAAGGATTACACCTATGAAAAATATCTAACAGTAGTTAAAAATCCCAACCATCGGTTAGCCCTAACGAAACTACGTATAAGTGCCCATACCTTACAGATAGAAATGGGGGCGGTACAAAAATATTGACATTGACCATAGAAAATGCAAAGTCTGTTATCTTGATGAAATAGAAGACGAGAAACACTTTCTGCTAAAATGCAAACTACACCAAGAGGAGAGGATTAAACTGTACCTGTGGTGTACCTGAGGAAGAAATCATGATAAAAATTCTCACCTCTACCGACAACAAAGAAATCACTGACTATGAAAAATACATTTTTAACTGCTTTAACCGCAGAGATATTACACTGAAAAAAACACCAGCTGCCCCAAAATAATCACTCAATTTTACATTTCTTGTATTTTTTTATTTTTGTTCTGTTTTACTTATTGATATAATTTACTGATTGTTTATTAGGGGCCCAAGCCTGTAGGGCGTGGCCCCTATTCTTATTGTTCGGTTTTTTCTTC